AACTTGGCAGACATCACTCTAGGCTCAATTCAGTACTTTATGCAAAATTTCGTGCAAATCGAAAGATATATGGTACTTTGTTGCACCATTTACATAAAATCGGATGAAACTATATACGGGAGCTATATCGAAATCTGAACCGATTTTCACGAAACCTGACACAAGTCATTCTAGACCTAATTCAGTGCGATATGCCAAATTTCGTGCCAATCGAAAGATATATAGGTACTTTGGTGCACTATTTACCGTAAATCGGACGAAAATATATATAGTAGCTATTTATATATATCTGAACCGATTTTCACGAAACTAAGCACACATCATTCTAGAGCTAATTCAGTACGTTACGCCAAATTTCGTGTAAATCGGTTCAGATTTAGATATAGCTCCCATATATATTTTCGTCCGATTTAAGGTAAATGGTGTACCAAAGTTCCTATATATCGTTCGATTTGGACGAAATTTGGCACAGCGTAATGAATAAGGTCAAGAATGATGTTTGCCAACTTTCGTGAAAATCGGTTCAGATTTAGATATAGCTCCCATATATAGTTTCGCCCGATTTAAGTTAAATGGTGTACAAAAGTCCCTATATATCTTTCGATTTGCATGAAATTTGATAAATCCTACTGAATTATGTCTAGAATGATGTGTGCTAAGTTTCCTGAAAATCGATTCAGATTTAGATATAGCTCCTATATATTAGTTTCGCTCGATTTTAGGTAAATAGTCCACTAAAGGCCCTATATATCTTTCGATTTGCACGAAATTTGGCATGACATACTGAATTACGTCTATAATAATAACAAGCTACGTCTGTTAGGATACATATGTAGAATATACCCAAAGTGGTGAAGGGAATCTTATAGTCGGCCCAGTCCGACTTTACTACTTTCCTTACTGGTTTCAAGCATTATAGTATGAAGCACTCAACACCTGATAGAGTAGTGAGTTAGTGAGTAGCATATTCACCAGCAATGTGTTTTTTTGCGATAATATCCACTTGTTGCCTTTTTTTCTAATTTATTTACATTTTAATTATCTCTGGCGCCCAATTTGCAAGTCATCAAAATATACTTTCCCATATGACACAGCAGATTCAGATTCAAACAACGAAATGCAAACCAATATGATTAACAATTAAGTCGTCGCAGGCCTTTGTTGGGCGTCTGGTTATATGAGACCGGCATAATAAAACCGGTTGGCACGCTTCAAGTTTTGAGCTTTGTGGTGTTGTTGTTTTTTTGTTTTATTTATAAAATCGCATTAGTTTGTGGGTATATTGTATTTGTTGATCTCATTCATTTCCAAATTGATTCTCGCACATTTAAGCGATGTTTCTGCCGCTGATAACATCTGAGATCTAATATGAAAATAAGGTAGCTGAAAATGAAATTTTTTTATTTACAATTATTTGAAATTATTTACCAGACCTTCCGCTCTACGATGATCACAAAATCCAAATTTTGTTGGATAGAAAATATTTTCTATGGTTCCTTTTGAGAATATCCATAGAATCACTTTTAAGGTCGACTTATGCATGTCCGTCCGTCTGTCTGTCCATGTTAAATTGTAAACAAAGGACAGGTCGCATTTATTATCCGTATTGGATGAAATTTGGCATAGGTCACTTATTTGGCCCAAGGACGAACCCTATTGAAATTGGGAAAAATCGGTTCGGATTTGGGTATAGCTCCCATATATGGTGCACCAATGTCCCTAAATATCTTTCGATTTGCACGAAATTTGGCAAAACGTACTGAATTTAGTGCAGGCTGATGTGTACCAAGTTTCGTGAAAATCGGTCCAGATTTAGATATAGCTCCCATATATAGTATCGTCCGATTTTATGTAAATGGTGCACCAAAGTCCCTATATATGTTTCGATGTGCAGGAAATTTGGCATAACGTACTGAATTGAGCGTAGAGTGATGCCTGACAAGTTTCGAGAAAATCAGTCCACATTTAGATATAGCTCGCATATATAGTTTCTTCCGATTTCATGTAAATGGTGCACCAAAGTCCCTATATATCCTTCGATTTGGACGAAATTTGGCATAGCGTACTGAATTTAGTCCAGACTGATGTGTGCCAAGTTTCGTGAAAATCGGTTGAGATTTAGATATAGCTCCGTTATATTATAGATTGATTTTAAATAATTGACGCACCAAGGATCCAATATATGGAAAACGTTCTGAAATTTGTATTACCTAACCTGTGACAAGTTTCGTTGAAATCTGTTCATATTACGATATAACTTCCATATATATCGCCCGATTTTAAGTAAATTGAACATTAGACTCCTCATGTTAGTCAGAATGACATCAAATTTTGCACAACGTCGGCTCCGTCCGACTTTACTACTTTCCTTACTGGTTGTTAATATGCAATATACCTTTCAGCCTTAAAGTAGACTACACTTGATATATGAATATTAATTACAATAGACATAGTGTTTAAAAAAGTTATTGAACCTTTCAATCTACTCTCGATTCTACGTCTTATCGGATTTTGGGTACATCATTTATACAACAAAGTCGATAAACTCATATCAGCCTAACAAAGTAGCAAATAAATCTCTAACATTACTCAGCAGGTGAGAGAGAGAGATAGAGAGGGAGAGAGACCTTGAATGTAGGTAACAAGGTCAATAGGCATCGCCTATGCAGCTGATAAAATTATAATGACTTTTGAAATACGTTATCAGATTCAAGTTGAAGTACTTTTGGTGGATGACAGGATTATTTTTGCAAGGAGGTTCCCCAGACAATTCATAAATATAAAAAAATAGAAAATACCATAGTTCCCAGGCTGCTTTGCAATTTCTCCCTTCCACATTCCCACGTTTATCAGCAACACCCTGCTGCTAAGCAAATCCGTCTCAATGCGTAGTTCTAAAATACATTTTTATCAATTCCCTGAAATCTCTCCGAATTTCTTTTAAAGTGTGCCTCATCATCAAACAACAAAAAAATAACAGACGAAATTTAAATATTGAAAGTCACGACGTTATCAATGAGGAACCGAACACAAAATTTTTGCTAAATCATTTTGGCGTGCGAGCTAAAGACCTCCTCTGTGCCACAGGTTCACAAAAGAACAACAACAAACGAAGCGTTCTGTTATCAAATGTCTAGCAAATAATAAAGGAGGGGGGTTGATAAGAACATTTGGACAGGTGTACTCTACACTAACCAAGGGGCTATAATTAGATTCGGACATAGGCGTAGACATTTTCAAATTGCCATAAAAAAAAATCCACACTTTGTTTGGTTTTTGAAAAAAAACACGGCTATTATTATTCTCAAAAAAAAAAAAAAAAAAAAAATCAACCAGTAAGGAAAGTAGTAAAGTCGGACGGGGCCGACTATATGATACCCTTCACCACGATGGGTATATTAAACAGGACTATTACAGGACTATTCGTGCAAATCGAAAGATATATAGAGACTTGGGTGAACCATATACATGAAATCGGACGAAACTATATATGGGAGCTATATAGAAATCTGGACCGGTTTTCTCGAAACTTGGCAGACATTCATTCTAGACTCAATTCAGTACGTTATGCAAAATTTCTTGCAAATAGAAAGATATTTAGCGACTTTGGTGCACCATTTACATGAAATCGGACGAAACTATATATGGGAGCTATATCGAAATCTGGACCGATTTTCACGAAAAAAGGCAGACATCACTCTAGGCTCAATTGAGTACGTTATGCCAAATTTCGTGCAAATCGAAAGATATATAGCGACTTTGGTGTACGATTTACATGAAATCGGACGAAACTATATATGGGAGCTATATCTAAATCTGGACCGATTTTCACGAAACTTGGCAGACATCACTCTAGACTCAATTCAGTACGTTATGCCAAATTTCGTGCAAATCGAAAGATATATTGCGACTTTGGTGCATCATTTACATGAAATCGGACGAAACTATATATGGGAGCTATATAGAAATCTGGACCGATTTGCTCGAAACTTGGCAGACATCTTTCTAGGCTTAATTCAGTACGTTATGCCAAATTTCGTGCAAATTGTAAGATATATAGGGACATTGGTGCACCATTTACATGAAATCGGACGAAACTGTATATGGGAGCTATATCTAAATCTGCACCGATTTTCTCGAAACTTGACAGACATCACTCCAGGCTCAATTCAGTACGTTATGCCAAATTTCGTGCAAATCGAAAGATATATAGGGACTTTGGGGCACCATTTACCTGAAATCGGACGAAACTATATATGGGAGCTATATCTAAATCTGGACCGATTTTCACGAAACTTGGCAGACATCATTCTAGACCTAAATGGTTAGGCTGTACCAAATTTCGTGCAAATCGAAAGATATATAGGGACCGTTTACATTAAATCGGTTAAATATATATATGGGAGCTATATCTAAATCGGGACCGATTTTTCCCAATGTCAATAGGGTTCGTCCTTGGGCCAAACAAATGAGCTGTGCCCAATTTCATCCTATTCGGATCATAAATGCGACCTGTACTTTGCTCACAAAAATACATGGACAGACAGACGGACGGACGGACATGCATAAATCGACTTAAAAAGTGATTCTATGCATATTCTCAAAAGGGACCATGGGTCTACCTCTTTTCCTTTTGCCTGTTACAAACATATGCACAAAGACATAATACCCTGTACCACAGTGTGGTGAAGGGTATAAAAATCCACACTTTGTTTGGTTTTTGAAAAAAAAACACGGCTATTATTACTCCCAAAAAAAAAAATTTAAAACATCGATGCCTTTTGAAGAGCCCTGATAATATTCTTATAAAATCTTCTTATTATAGTTCATTACCCACTGTAGGGTGGTTTTTTTTTTTTGTCTTATCACTTTCCAATCTATTTACACAAAAAATCTAAATTTCGGCTATTCTCAAATCACCCCAAAACGCTCCCTATAAAAGCAGATACTTTTCGGCAAACCGAAATCAGTCGACCGCATACCCTCACCACACTGCGATCATGGAACTAGTAACGCTGCTCTTTTATCTGCTCACGGCGATTATTTCGTTGTTGGTCTCATATTTTCGTCGTAATCTAAACTATTGGAAAAATCGTGGTATTCCTCATGACCCACCCCATTTACTACTGGGAAATACGCAAGAATATCGTAATACCCGATCTTTGGGTGAAATTTTAATGGATTATTATAAGAAATATAAGGGCACGGGTCCCTTTGCCGGCATGTACATGGGTCAGCGTCCCGTTGCAGTGCTCTTGGATATACCCACCATTAAAAATGTAATGATTAAGGATTTTAATAATTTCACGGATCGTGGCATGTACTACAACGAGAAGGATGATCCATTGACGGGTCATCTATTCTTCATCGATGGACAGAAGTGGCGCAACATGAGAAATAAAGTTTCCCCAGCCTTCACGTCGGGTAAAATGAAGTTTATGTATCCCACAGTGACCCAAGTGGTGGCGGATTTTATGGAAGTTTTAGGCGAACAGGTTCAGCGCCGAAAGGAGGTGGAAGTTCGTGATCTTCTCGGACGTCTTGGTATGGAGATAATAGGTCGTGTGGCCTTCGGTATTGAGTGCAACAGTTTGAAAAATGACGAAGATGATTTTATTCGCCTGGGTCGGAAATCTATTGAGCAGCAACGTCATAATATGGCCATAATGGCATTCATTGATAGTTTCCCCAAATTGGCCAAAAAGCTGGGAATGCGTATCCTGCCCGAAGATGTCCATCAGTTCTTTATGAAAACCATCAGAGATACTGTGGAATATCGTGAGAAACATAAAATCCAGCGAAATGATTTTGTGAATATTTTAATCGATTTGAAGAACAACAAGGAGGATAAATCGGGACTGGGGGGCTTGACATTTGAGGAAATGGCTGCTGAGATTTTTGTTTTCTTTTTGGCTGGTTTTGAAACCTCCTCATCGACAGTGACATTTGCCCTCTTCGAATTGGCCCAAAACCAAGAAATACAGGAGAGGCTAAGGCAGGAGGTCACCGAGACTTTGGAGAAGTACAAGGAATTTACCTATGAAAGTTTGGGAGAAATGTCCTACCTCAATCAGGTGTTGTGTGGTAAGTTGGAAAAATACCTCAAAAAAATCCAAAAAATAACCTCTATATTTCCCTCTACCCTAGAATCTCTACGCAAATATCCAATTGTACCATTTTTGACACGTCGAGCTTTGAACGACTATGTTATACCCCAGCATCCGAAATATAAGATTGAAGCTGGTACCATGGCCATTATACCCGTTTTGGGTATACACATGGATCCGGAACTGTATCCCAATCCTGAATGTTTTGATCCTGAACGTTTTGCCCCGGAAATGATAAAGAATCGTGAATCAGTAGAATGGTTGGGTTTCGGTGATGGACCCCGTAACTGTATTGGTCTACGATTTGGTAAACTGCAATCGCGTCTATCATTGGCCAACATGGTTAGCCGTTATCGTTTTACCCTCAGTTCAAAGACAAAGATTCCATTGCAGTTTAATCCCACGCCACCAATAATGAGTCCTGTCGAACCGATTTTTTTGAATTTTGAGGAGATTTGAAGTAAGGAATTTGTGTATGTGTGTGAAATGAAAATAAAGCAAATAAAGTGCAAGAAAAAATAAAGCCTGACAAAATATTTAAAAAAAAACAGAGCCTTGTAATAGGCCTTGAAAAAATAATTCTAAAAACTCTACACCAAGTTATAGGCCTTGAAAAATCATTTTTACACCAGTAAGGAAAGTAGTAGTCGGACTGGGCCGACTATATGATACCCTTCATCACTTTGGCTATATTCTACATAGTCTCCTAACAGATGTCGCCTTTTCGAAAGAACATTGACAGGAAATTGAACGAAAGATATTTGGGGACTTTGGTACACCATTTGCCTTAAATCGGACGAAGATATATATGGGGGCTATATCTAAATCTGAACCGATTTTCACGAAACTTAGCAGACATCATTCTAGACTTAATTTAGTACGCTATGCCAAATTTCGTGCAAATCGAAAGATATATAGGGACTTTGGTACACAATTTACCTTAAATCGGACGAATATATATATATGGGAGCTATATCTAAATCTGAACCGATTTTCACGAAACTTGGCAGACATCATTCTAGACCTCATTCATTACGCTGTGCAAATTTCGTGCAAATCAAAAGATATATAGGGACTTTGGTACACCATTTACCTTAAATCGGACGAAAATATATATGGGAGCTATATCTAAATCTGGACCGATTTTAACGAAACTTGGCAGACATCATTCTAGACCCACTTCAGTACGTTGTACTAAATTTCGTGCAAATCGACAAATATATAGGGTCATTAGTGCACCATTTACATGAAATCGGACGAAACTATATATGGGAGCTATATCTAAATCTTAACCGATTTTCTCTAAACTTAGCAGACATCATTCTAGACTTAATTTAGTACGCCATGCCAAATTTCGTGCAAATCGAATGATTTTCAGAAACTTTGGTGCACTAATTACCGAAAATCGGACGAAAATATATATGGGAGCTATATCTAAATCTGAACCGATTTTCACGAAACTTTGCACACATCATTCTAGACTTTATTCATTACGCTGTGCCAAATTTCGTGTAAATCGAAAGATATATAGGGACTTTGGTACACCATTTACCTTAAATCGGACGAAGATATATATGGGAGCTATATCTAAATCTGAACCGATTTTTACGAAACTTTGCACACATCATTCTAGACTTTTTTCATTACGCTGTGCCAAATTTCGTGCAAATCGGAAGATATATAGGGACTTTGGTGCACCATTTACCTTAAATCGGACGAAAATATATATGGGAGCCATATCTTAATCTGAACCGATTTTTCCCAATTTCAATAGGGTTTGTCCTTGAGCCAAACAAATGAGCTGTGCCAAATTTCATCTAATTCGGATCATAAATGCGACCTGTACTTTGTTTACAATTAAACATGGACAGACGGACGGACGAACATGCATAAAAGAAAGTGATTCTATGCATATTCTTAAAAGGAACCATGGGTCTATCTCGGTTATTTTTGCCTGTTACAAACATGGTGAAGGGTATAAAAATCCACGTCTTGTTATAGGCCTTGAAAAAAATATATATACCCTCCATAAATATTTAAACAGAAAATACCATCGTTCCCAGACACCTCTCCAATTTCTCCCACCCATATTCCCATGACTATCATTAATGTCTAGCTGCTATGCAAATATGTCTAATTTCTATAATATAAAAATAGACTATTATCAATTCCCTGAAATCTCTCCGAATTTTTTTTTTCTTATCGAAGTGTGTCTCCTTATTAAAATAAAATAAACGCAATTTAAATACTGAAATGTGAAAAGTCATGACGTTATCAACGAGGAACCCAAGACAAAATTTTTGCTAAATCATTTTGGCCTCTGTACAACAAATTCAAAAAAAAACGAAACCTGTTAAGCGTTTTATTATCAATTGTCTAGCAAACAATTAAGTTTGAACAATATTGGCTTGATAAGCAAACCAAGGGGGGGCTATAATTTAATTCGGAGATAGACGTAGACATTTTTTATAAATATTTTCAAAATATTTGTAGAGACTATCAACAGGCGTGGATTTTTTAAAAATATTTTCTTAGAGACTATCATCAGGCGTGGACTTTTTACACTTCACGCCACTGTGGTATGAATTTGTGCATATGTTTGTATCAGGCAAAAGGAAACGAGATAGACACATGGTTCCTTTTGAGAATATGCATAGAATAACTTTCTAAATCGATTTATGCATGACCGTCCGCCCGTCGTTCCGTCTGTCTGTCCATGCTAAATTGTAAACACTTATGATTCGAATTGGATAAAATTTGGCATAGGTCACTTATTTGGTCCAAGGACGAACCTTATTGAAATTGGGAAAAATCGGTTCAGATTTAGATATAGCTCCCATATATATTTTCGACCGATTTTAGGTAAATGGTGTAACAAAGTCCCTAAATATCTTTCGATTTGCACGAAATTTGGCACAGCATACTGAATTATGATTAGAATGATGTGTGCAAAGTTTCGTGAAAATCGGTTCAGATTTAGATATAGCTCCCATATATATTTTCGTCCGATTTTAGATAAGTAATGTACCAAAGTCCCTAAATATCTTTCGATTTGCACGAAATTTGGCATAGCGTACTGGATTAAATCTATAACGATGTGCGTAAAATTTCGTGAAAATCGATTCAGATTAAGATATAGCTCCCATATATATTTTCATCTGATTTTAGGTAAATAGTGCACCAAAGTCCCTCTATATACTTCGAGTTGCACGAAATTTGGAAAATATTTATTGGAGACTATCAAAAGGCATGGACTTCTAAGAAATATTTTTTTGGAGACTTTATTTGCTTTAGACCTTGAAAAAATATTTCTAAAATATCAATGCCTGGTAATGGACGTTTAAAAAAAAATTCTCGCCTATTAAAGTGTAGGGCTCAACTAGACCGTTTCGACCTTTTAATCAACAACAAATTTATAGGGCACTTATAGAGCTTTGACCAAGAACAAAAAAAACGATTAATTTTCGTAGATAAGAGAACAGCCACAATAACAACTGTAACAACTGAATAGACCCTCTTGATGAGGGTATAAATATTTAGAACGAATCTACCATAGCGCCAGTTACATCGATTTCGTGAAGGTCGTCGTGACAATGGAATCGTCGGGAATTGTAATCTATCTCATCATAGCCATTGCCTCGGCAGTGGTGTATTTGCTCAGGAGAAATTTAAATTATTGGAAGCGATTGGGTATACCGCACGAGGAACCCACCATACTTATGGGCAATATGACCGGTTTACGGACTCATCGGTGTATGGGTGAAATTTTGGCCACGTATTATAGGAAATTCAAGGGCTGTGGTCCCTTTGCGGGTATATATAATGGCCAGAGGCCAGGTGTGGTGTTGCTGGACAAGCAGCTCATTAAAAATGTTCTCATCAAGGATTTTACCCAATTTACCGATCGTGGTCTGTACTATAATGAAAAAGCCGATCCGCTGACGGGACATTTATTTTTTGTGGATGGTGATAAATGGCGCAGTTTGCGTAATAAACTCTCACCCACATTCACGTCGGGTAAAATGAAATATATGTACCCCACGGTGCTGAAGGTGGCGGATCGATTTATGACTGTTTTGGCTGAGAAGGTGGAAAAAGATGCCATTTTAAATGTTCGAGATATTTTGGCGCGTTACACTGTGGACGTAATCGGAAGTGTGGCCTTTGGCATTGAATGCAACAGCCTGCGGAATTCGCAGGATAGTTTCCTGCTACTTGGCCGCAAGTCCATTGAAACTCAACGGCACAATGCCTTGATCATGATTTTGATTGACAGCTTTCCGCGATTGGCGAAAATCCTTGGCATGCGGATACTGCCTCAGGATGTTCATGAGTTCTTTATGAACACCATTAAAGAGACGGTGGCCTATCGGGAACAGCACAATATTCAGCGCAGTGATTTTTTGCATATTTTAATTGAGCTGAAAAATTCGGTGGATGGTAAGACGGGGCTGGAGGGTATGGAGTTGGAGGAGTTGGCTGCTCAGGTGTTTGTTTTCTTTTTGGCTGGCTTCGAAACCTCATCATCGACCATGGCCTATGCTCTCTATGAATTGGCCCTGAATCAGCAGTTACAGGAACGACTAAGGGAAGAAATCAATGAGGTGTATGAAAGCACCCCGGAACTGACATATGATGTTATTATGAACATGACCTATTTGGATCAGGTGATATCGGGTAAGGGATTTAAAACAAAACATCCATTTTAAAATTAGAATTAATTCCCTTTCCTCCCGCTTCCCTTTCAGAAACCCTACGCAAATATCCGATTTTACCATTCCTGAATCGGCAGGCCCTAAAGGACTACGTTGTACCGGGTAATCCGAAATTTGTTATACCAAAGGGTACACCGATTTTCATTCCCATCATGGGCATACAACATGATCCGGAATATTATCCCAACCCGGAGGAATTTGATCCGGAACGTTTTACAGCCGATATGGTTAAGCAACGGGATCCCATTGAATGGATGCCATTTGGTGATGGTCCCCGCAATTGTATTGGTGCTCGGTTTGCCAAAATGCAAACACGCCTCGGATTGGCCAGTGCCTTGAGGCGTTTCCGTTTCAGTGTTTGCCCAAAGACGCCGCTGACATTGGCATTCCAGGCCAAGCCTTTGGTATTGACACCCATCCACGAAATTTATCTGAAAGTGGAAGAAATTTAGAGATTAGCTTTAAGATTTGATTTAAGGGAAATAAATAATAAAAAAACTCCAAAAAATATTTTTAAAAAATCCACCATCCTGAGAAAATCTAAAATCTACTACTTATTCTTCATTACCTTCTATAGGGTGCTTTATATCTAATCAGTCTCAAACCTATTTACTAAGTTTCGCCTATTTTCTATTTTATCTCTACCTGGTCATAGCATAATTAACCGATTAACAAACATAATCAGTAAATAGCCCAAACATATGCTCGGTACAAAAGCAGATAATTTTCGGCAAACCGAAATCAGTCGACCGCGTACCCTCAAAACTTTGCGAACATGGACGTACTAACTGCTGCTCTTTTATCTGCTCACAGCGATCATTTCATTGTTGGTCTAATATTTTCGTCGTAATCTAAACTATTGAAAAATCGTGGTATTCCTCATAACCCACCTCACTTACTATTGGGGAATATTCAAGAATATCGCAATACCCGATCGTTGGGTGAAATTTTAATGGATTATTATAGGAAATATAAAGGTACGGGGCCCTTTGCCGGCATGTACATGGGTCAGCGTCCCGTTGCAGTGCTCTTGGATATACCCACCATTAAAAATGTAATGATTAAGGATTTTAATAATTTCACGGATCGTGGCATGTACTACAACGAGAAGGATGATCCATTGACGGGTCATCTATTCTTCATCGATGGCCAGAAGTGGCGCAACATGAGAAATAAAGTTTCCCCAGCCTTCACGTCGGGTAAAATGAAGTTTATGTATCCCACAGTGACCCAAGTGGTGGCGGATTTTATGGAAGTTTTAGGCGAACAGGTCCAACATGGAAAGGAGGTGGAAATTCGTGAACTACTCGGACGTCTTGGTATGGAGATAATTGGTCGTGTGGCCTTCGGTATTGAGTGCAACAGTTTGAAAAATGACGAAGATGATTTTATTCGCCTGGGTCGGAAATCTATTGAGCAGCAACGTCGCAATATGACCATAATGGCTTTCATTGATAGTTTCCCCAAATTGGCCAAGAAGCTGGGTATGCGTATCCTGCCCGAAGATGTCCATCAGTTCTTTATGAAAACCATCAGGGATACTGTGGAATATCGTGAGAAGCATAAAATCCAGCGAAATGATTTTGTGAACATTTTAATCGATTTGAAGAACAACAAGGAGGACAAATCGGGCCTGGGTGGCATGACATTTGAGGAAATGGCTGCCCAGATTTTTGTTTTCTTCTTGGGTGGTTTTGAAACCTCCTCATAGTCAGTGACATTTGCTCTCTTCGAATTGGCCCAAAACCAGGAAATGCAGGAGAGGCTAAGGCAAGAGGTCACCGAGACTTTGGAGAAGTACAAGGAATTTACCTATGAAAGTTTGGGAGAAATGCCCTACCTCAATCAGGTGCTGTGTGGTAAGTTGGAACACACCCCAAAAAATTCAAAAAACAAAAAATAATAATAACCCGCTTTTTCCCTAGAATCTCTGCGCAAATACCCCGTTGCTCCATTTTTGACGCGACAAGCTTTGAACGATTATGTTATACCCCAGCATTCGAAATATAAAATTGAAGCTGGTACCATGACCATTATACCCGTTTTGGGTATACACAGGGATCCTGAACTGTATCCAAATCCCGAATGTTTTGATCCAGAACGTTTTGCCCCAGAAATAATAAAGAATCGTGAATCAGTGGAATGGTTGGGTTTTGGCGATGGACCTCGCAACTGTATTGGTCTACGATTTGGTAAACTGCAATCGCGTCTTTCATTGGCCAACATGGTTAGTCGTTATCGTTTTACGCTCAGCTCGAAGACAAAGATTCCATTGCAGTTTAATCCCACATCACCAACAATGAGTCCCGTTGATCCGATTTATTTGAATTTTGAGGAGATCTAAAATGAAGTGTGCGACAAAAACTAAAACAAAAAAATATAATTATATAAATAAATATATGCTGTAAATCTCCAGAAAAAATATATTTAAAAAATCCACGCCTATTGAAGATCTTCAAGAAATATTTAAAAAATCCAAGCCATTGGAAGATCTTAAAAAATATTTTTTTTTAAAAATTCCACGCCTTTTTCACGCCATTGTAATACTCCAAAAAATATTCTTAAAAAATCAAGGCCTATTGAAGATCTCCATGCCTATTAAATCCCTTCAGAAATCATTTTTAAAAATTCCAAATTTGTTAGACTTTAAAAAATATTTTTTTTAAATCTCCGCCTTTTGAAGGTCTCCAAAAAATATTTTAAATTATTAGCGTAGTCAATAAATTTTCCCGTAAAATGAACAGCGCCATCTTGCATAATGCTAGGTTACTATAGCCGACGTTAAGGTAAAAGCTTTGCATAAAATACAGCTAAAGTACAAAAGCTCTACTGTGTGCGAACATAAGTTAAACTGAAACAGACATTTAATGAAAACACACTAAAGAACAAAAGTTGACCTACACTGAATAGAAAATATAATAAAAATTTCTTTAGAGAGTAGTTTTTCAAGGCCCAATACAAGGCGTGGATTTTTTTAATTTTTTTCAGAGACTACTAACAGGTGTGGATTTTTATACCCTTCACCACACTGTGGTACAGGGTATGATGTCTTTGTGCATATGTTTGTAACAGGCAAAAATAATCGAGATAGACCCATGGTTCCTTTTGAGAATATGCATAGAATCACTTTATGCATGTCCGTCCGTCCGTCCATGTATTTTTGTGAACAAAGTACAGGTCGCATTTAAAATCCGATTTGGATGAAATTTAGCACAGGTCACTTAATTGGCCCAATGACGAACCCTATTGTAATTGGAGAAAATCGGTCCAGGTTTAGGCATACCTCCCATATAAGGGTACCCCCAAGCTTTCGGTATTTTGAGGTTCTTGAGCGCATTTTTTAACTGAATTCGCTGAAATTTGGTACTTTGAGTTCTTATTGGGTAACAAATCTCCCTACCAAAACTTATAAATAAAGGTCAATTTTTTCGGATAGCCCCCATATAAGGGTACCCCCAATTTTCTGTATTTTAGAGGTTTTGATAGCATTTTTCGACCGAATTCGCCACACCACACTGTGGTATAGGGTATTATGTCGTTGCTCAAATGTTTGTAACAGGCAAAAATAATCGAGATAGACCCATGGTTCCTTTTGAGCATATGCATAGAATCACTTTCTAAGTCGATTATGCATGGCATAGCAGACTGAATTAAGTCTAGAACGTTGTATGTTAAATTTCCTGAAAATCGGTTCAGATTTAGATATAGCTCCCATATATATTTTCGTCCGATTTTAGGTATATAGTGCATCAAAGTCTCTACATATCCTTCGATTTACATGAAATTTGGCATAGCATACTAAATTAAGCCTAGAATGATGTGTGCTAAGTTTCGTACAAATCGGTTCAGATTTAGATATAGCTCCCATATATATTTTTGTCCGACTTTATGTAAATGGTGCACCAATGTCCCGATATATCACTCGATTTGCACGAAATTTGGTATAGGGTACTGAATTGAGGCGAGAATGATGTGTATTAAATTTCGTGAAAATCGGTTCAGATTTAGATATAGGTCCCATTAATATTTTCGCCCGATTTTAGGTGAATAGTGCATCAGTGTCGCGATATATCCTTCCATTTGCACGATATTTGGCATAGGGTACAGAATTAAGACTAGAATGATGTGTGTGTGCCAAGTTTCGAGAAAATGGGGTCAGATTTAGATATAGCTCTCATATTTTCGTCCGATTTAAGGTAAATGGGGCACCAAAGTTCCTACATATCATTCGATTTGCACGAAATTTGCATAGGGTACTGAATTGAGGCGAGAATGATGTGTGTCAAGTTTCGACAAAATCGCTTCAGATTTAGATATAGCTCCCATATATAGTTTCGTCCGATTTAAGGCAAATGGGGCACCAAAATCCCTACATATCATTCGATTTGCACGAAATTTGGCATAGGGTACTGAATTGAGGCGAAAATGGTGTGTGTCAAGTTTCGAGAAAATCGGGTCAGATTTAGATATAGCTCCCATATATAGTTTCGTCCGATTTTATGTGAATGGGGCATCAATGTCCCTGTATACCCTTCGATTTGCACGAAATTTGGCATAGGGTACTCAATTGAGTCTAGAATGACATGTGTTAAATTTCAAGAAAATCGGGTCAGATTTTGATATAGCTCCCATATATATTTTCGTCGGATTTAAGGCAAATGGGGCACCAAAGCCCCTACATATCATTCGATTTGCACGAAATTTGGCATAGGGTACTGAATTGAGGCAAGAATGATGTCTGTCAAGTTTCGACAAAATCGCTTAAGATTTAGATATAGCTCCCATATATAGTTTCGTCCGATTTAAAGCAAATGGTGAACCAAAGTCCCAACTTATCTTTCGATTTGCACTAAATTTGGCATAGCATACTGAATTAAGTCTAGAACGATATGTGTTAAATTGCGTCAACATTGGTTCAAATTTAGACATAGCTCCCATATACAATTTCGTCCGATTTAAGGTAAATGGTGTACCAAAGTCCCTAAATATATTTCGATTTGCACGAAATTTGGCATAATGTACTGAATTGAGCCTAGAATGATGTGTGCTAAGTTTCGTTAAGATTTAGATATAGCTCCCATTAATATTTTCGTCCGATTTAATGTAAATGGTGCACCAAAATCCGAATATATTTTTCGAATAGCACGAAATTTGGCATAGCATACTGAATTAAGTCTAGAACTATGTGTGTTAAATTTAGTGAAAATCGGTTCAGATTTAGATATAGCTCCCATACATATTTTCGTCCGATTTAAGGCAAATGGTACACCAAATTCCCTAGGTATCTTCCTATTTGCATGAAATTTGTCGCAACGTACTGAATTAAGCCTAGAATGATGTGTGCTAAGTTTCGTGAAAATCGGTTCAGATTTAAATATAGCTCCTATACTTATTTTCGTTCGATTTAAGGTAAATGGTACACCAAAGTCCCTATAGATCCTTCGATTTGCTCTAAACCGGTTATTTTTTAATTTAAAGTCTACCAGGAGGCGGGGATTTTCTAAAAAATTTTTTTTGTGTCTATAAACAGCCGTGGTTTTTTTGAAAATATTTTTTTTAGAATCTATCAACAGGCGGGATTTTTTCAATTTTTTTTTTTCATGTTTGAACACAATGCGCAGATTTTTTTACACAATTTTTGTTTTGAACCACTGTCCGGCGCCATATGAAATGTGTGTGTTATTAAGTTTTTGTTGTTGTTGTTTTAGAACAATGTCTTGCCTACTGCCCAGTGTGGTCTGAAAGCTTTCACCATTAACATGTTTGTTTGTCAAATAATTGTGTGTTTGTTGTTGCTGTATTTTTATTTTTTTTTAATTTGTTTATTTTCGTTTTATGTTTTGTGTGTTTCTACGTCGTATTTTTTCATGCAACTGGAATGATATCATTTTTTTGGAACTGGTGGCCTTGCCCAAGGCCATCACAGATGAGAATTTTCAAATAGAAAAAAATATTTAATTAAATACACAAAAACAATAGCAATAAAATTATCAACGAAATTATACGGCATTTAAATACTGACCATACCGGGTGGGGGGTCATATGATGATAAGGCATAATGATTGGAGAGAATTTGCAAATTGTATGAATTTTTTTAATTACCCTGAGCCACTGTAAATTATCTTTCATATGATAAATATTTACTGAAAAATCATAGCGAGACCTACCTCAATAAGTTGGGTAGTTTTGTTTACTATTTTGTTGGGTAGGTAGAATATTTGTTTATTTTATTCGAGTCGGATTTCTTGGATTAGGCCCAATTTCAATATTACATTTAATGAAGATTTTTCTTTGGAATTGTAAAAAAATTCAAATCTTCTAATCTCCCTCCTCATATAAGCAATTAAAAATCAATTTATTTATTTTTTTCTTAAATTTATTTTCATTCTTAATCTCTCTAAATTTTCTCCACCTTCAAATACACACCACCATCGGCCGATACCAACATATTTGTCTTATCCAATTTCATTGGTATTTGTGTCCTTTCACAGACGGAAAATTTGAAATGTTTCAGCAGCAGGGCCAAACCGATCATAGTTTGCATTTTACCAAAACGCATACCAATACAGGTACGGGGTCCATCACCGAAGGAAAGATTTAAGACGGAGTCACGAGCAGCCACTTTTTCGGGGGCAAAGTTATCGGGATTGAATACATTCGGTTCGGGGAAATAACGTTCATCACGATGTATGGCACCGGCAGGAATTATCACAGGCATACCTTTTTTGATCACGAGCTTACTATTGCCAGGAACGGGATAGTCTTCCACGGCTTGGCGATTTAGGAACACAACAATTGTATAGAGACGGAGGGTTTCTGGAAATCAGGAGAGAAGAACAATATTAGAAAAAATATTTTACAAAAGAATATTTTTCAAGTCGTGGATGTTTTAAAGAATATTTTTTCAAAGCCCATAGAAGGCGTGGATTTTTTAAAGAATATTTTTTCAAAGTCCATAGAAGGCGTGGATTCAGCGCATAGAAGGCGTGGATTTTTTAAAGAATATTTTTTCAAAGCCCATAGAAGGCGTGGATTTTTTAAAGAATATTTTTTCAAAGCCCATAGAAGGCGTGGATTTTTTAAAGAATATTTTTTCAAAGCCCATAGAAGGCGTGGATTTTTTAAAGAATATTTTTTCAAAGCCCATAGAAGGCGTGGATTTTTTAAAGAATATTTTTTCAAAGCCCATAGAAGGCGTGGATTTTTTAAAGAATATTTTTTCAAAGCCCATAGAAGGCGTGGATTTTTTAAAGAATATTTTTTCAAAGCCCATAGAAGGCGTGGATTTTTTAAAGAATATTTTTTCAAAGCCCATAGAAGGCGTGGATTTTTTAAAGAATATTTTTTCAAAGCCCATAGAAGGCGTGGATTTTTTAAAGAATATTTTTTTCAAAGCCCATAGAAGGCGTGGATTTTTTAAAGAATATTTTTTCAAAGCCCATAGAAGGCGTGGATTTTTTAAAGAATATTTTTTCAAAGCCCATAGAAGGCGTGGATTTTTTAAAGAATATTTTTTCAAAGCCCATAGAAGGCGTGGATTTTTTAAAGAATATTTTTTCAAAGCCCATAGAAGGCGTGGATTTTTTAAAGAATATTTTTTCAAAGCCCATAGAAGGCGTGGATTTTTTAAAGAATATTTTTTCAAAGCCCATAGAAGGCGTGGATTTTTTAAAGAATATTTTTTCAAAGCCCATAGAAGGCGTGGATTTTTTAAAGAATATTTTTTCAAAGCCCATAGAAGGCGTGGATTTTTTAAAGAATATTTTTTCAAAGCCCATAGAAGGCGTGGATTTTTTAAAGTATATTTTTTCAAAGCCCAGTAGGCGTGGATTTTTTAAAGAATATTTTTTCAAAGCCCATAGAAGGCGTGGATTTTTTAAAGAATATTTTTTCAAAGCCCATAGAAGGCGTGGATTTTTTAAAGAATATTTTTTCAAAGCCCATAGAAGGCGTGGATTTTTTAAAGAATATTTTTTCAAAGCCCATAGAAGGCGTGGATTTTTTAAAGAATATTTTTTCAAAGCCCATAGAAGGCGTGGATTTTTTAAAGAATATTTTTTCAAAGCCCATAGAAGGCGTGGATTTTTTAAAGAATATTTTTTCAAAGCCCATAGAAGGCGTGGATTTTTTAAAGAATATTTTTTCAAAGCCCATAGAAGGCGGTGATTTTTTAAAGAATATTTTTTCAAAGCCCATAGAAGGCGTGGATTTTTTAAAGAATATTTTTTCAAAGCCCATATGGATTTTTTAAAGAATATTTTTTTGGATTTTTTAAAGTCTTAAAAAATAGAAGGCGTGGATTTTTTAGAAGTAGTCGATTTTTTAAAGAAAAATCCACGCCTATTGCAGGATCTCAACAAAATATTTTTTTTTTCCTTTTTCTCTCTCTTACCTTGCATAACTTGACTCAAATATGTCATTTCCTTAAGGCACTCATAGCTGAACTCTTTATGTCTTCCCAAAACCTCTTCAATTTCTTCTCGGGCCTTTTGCTGGGCCTCTTGATTCTGAGCCAATTCATACAGAGCAAAACTCATGGTGGTCGATGAAGTTTCAAAACCGGCCAAGATGAAAACAAAAGCCTGGGCGGCAATCTGGCCAAATGTCAAATTTGTCAATTCCTCCCCATCCTCACTCTTCACCAGCTTGTTGTTCTTCATATCGATCAGCATATCCATAAAATCATTACGTTTGATATTATTTTTCTCACGCATCTCCACCGTGTCCTTGACGATGCCCATAAAGAATTTCTCAACATCGGGCATTGTTTCGGTGATGTGTAGCTTATGAGCCAGCTCAGGGAAGCCAAAACGTAGAGCCAAACCCAAAACGCCATAACGTTGGACCACAAATGCCCGGCGACACATGTTGCGGAACTCGGGGTTCCTACCTCTCAAACAGTTCATTTCCAAACCAAAGGCACAGCTACCAATGACATCGATGGTGAAACAGGCCGCCATATCCTTGACATCCAAAATGGGATTCACCATAATCCGATCACCCACAACATCAACCATGTCATGGGCCAATTTGGTCACGAATGGGAACATACCCTTCATTTTGCCCGATGTAAATGTGGGTGTTAACTTCGTGCGCATATGCCGCCATTTATTGCCATCCAAATTGAAGAGATTACCCGACAGCGGATCATCTTCTTCATTGCAATACAAACCACGATCGGTAAATTTCGAAAAGTCTTTGACGAGGATTTGTTTCAGCAACTGAGGATCGGTGACAAAGGCAGCCGGCTTGGTAAACCAATAGAAACCCACAAAGGGTCCAGAATTGCGATATTTTTGATAATACTCCCTTAAAATTTGTTCAACAGTCTTGGAGGTCATGGCTCCACCCAGGCTGCCCAGCAACCAATTGGGCCGGTCGCAGGGTACACCTTGGGCCTCCCAGTATGTGTAACGTTTGTACAGCATCAGGCCCAGGTACATCAACAGCAGGACGACGGTGGCCAACAGTATCGTGGTGAGATCCATGTTTGAAAAATGTTTCCTTCACAATAAAAAAATCGATTTCAGAATACACCGATTTTGAAAAAACATCAGTTTTCAGAAAAATAAATATTATATTTCTTCTTTCACTTGACTACGATCGTTACTAAATTAGAATTAAAACTGACAGCCATTCGTTGCGAACAAAATGTTATAAAGCTTTCCTTGTTTGAGAAATAAAATAATTCTCAATGTACTTTGGTATTGAAATTTCTACGACGACACCGACAACAACGACGACGATGACAATGTTGTTTCGGCTGCTAGCTAGCCGATTTGGGAGATGAAAGGGAAATTAATTTTTTTATCTGTCTGTCTGTATGTAAGTAATTGCCGGTTCACTGGGGATGCAATAACACACCTTGACACTCAATTTTGTCCAGATTGTCGAGCAAACAATATAACAACAACAACATGTTATTATTTTGTTTTTTTTTGTTCTTGCTTTCTTCTTATTCTCAGACATATTTAGAACACACAGATTTATTTGTTTGATATAATATATAATTTGATTTTAGGAGTTATACAGACCAATACGGATATATGAAATTTCGGTTGTTATAAGAGGCTTTTTTTCTAAAATATATATACGTGCGATTTCAGCGATTGACATTCAATGTAACTTTCTACACATTTACCCATTTACAAATATACGCACATGGTGAACTGTGTGTTACACCCACACCACTACTATTTCTCTCTCTCTGACTCTCTCTCCCCATGAGAATTTTTTCAGATCTAATAAAAACCAGTAAGGAAGGTAGTAAAGTCGGACTGCACCGACTACATGATACCCTTCACCACTTTGGGTATATTCTACATAAGTATCCTAACAGAGGTCGTGTGTTTGTTATATATCTATATCTGAACCGATTTCAGGGTAACTTGCCAGAGACTAATTTATATTACTTCAGTACGATGTGTCAATCGGCCTAGCTATGGATCTTTTCACGAAGCTTAGCAACATCATTCTTGACTTAATTCAGTATATATACTATACCAAAATGCGTGCAAATCGAAAGATATATAGGGACATTGGTGCACCAATTACATAAAATCGGACGAAACTATATATATGGGACTACATCTAAATCTGAACCGATTTTCACGAAATTCAGCACACGCCATTCTAGACTTAATTCAATACATTATGATAAATTTCGTGCAAATGAAAAGATTTCCAGGGACTTTGGTGGACCACTTACCTAAAATCCGGCGAAAATATATAGATATGGGAGCTATATCTGATTCTGAACCGATTTTCATGAAACTTAACACACACTATTCTAGACCTAGAGCTGTACCAAATTTCGTGCAAATCGAAAGATATATAGGGACATTGTTACACCATTTACCTTAAATCGGACGAGGATATATATGGGAGCTATATCTAAATCTGAACCGATTTTCACGAAACTTAGCACATATCATTGTAGACCTTATTAAGTTGGTTATACCAAATTTCGTGCAAATCGAATGATATATAGGGACTTTAGTGGTCTATTTACCTAAAATCGGGGGAATCTATACATGGGAACTATTTCTAAATCTGGACCGATTTTCACGAAACTTTACACACATCATTCTAGACCTTATTAATTAGGCTGTACCAAATTTCGTGCAAATCGAATGATATATAAGGGCTTTAGTGGTCTATTTACCTAAAATCGGGCGAAACTATATATGGGAGCTACATCTAAATCTGAACCGATTTTCACGAAATTTTGCATACATCATTCTAGACTTATTTGAGTACGATTTATCAAATTTCGTGCAAATCGAAAGATATATAGGGACAATGTTACACCATTTACCTTAAATCGGACGAAAATATATATGGGAGCTATATCTAAATCTGAACAGATTTTCACGAAACTTAACACACTTTATTCTAGACCTTATTCGTTGCGTTCAGTACGCTGTTCCAAATTTCAGACAAATCGAAACGAGTATAAGATAATTTGTGCACCATTTACATAGAATCGGACATAACTATATATGGGAGCTATATATAAATCTGAACTGATTTTCATGAAACTTTGTACACATCATTCTAGACCTAATTAATTACGCTGTGCCAAATTTCGTGCAAATCGAAAGATATATAGGGACATTGTTACACCATTTACCTTAAATCAGATGAAACTATATATGGGAGCTATATCTAAATCTGAACCGATTTTCACGAAACTTTGCGTACATCATCCTAAATTTAATTCAGTACGCTGTACCAAATTTCGTACAAATCGAAAGATATATAGGTCTTTGATGCACCAATTACCTTAAATCGGATGAAAATATATATGGGAGCAATATCTAAATTTGAACCGATTTTCAGGAAACTTAACACACATCATTCTAGACCTTATTCATTACGCTGTACCAAATTTCTTGCAAATCGAATGATATATACGGACTTTGGTGCACCATTTACCTTAACTTGCCACACATCATTCTGGACCAAATTCAGTACTCTGTGCCGAATTTCGTCCAAATCAAAATGTATAGAGGGTCTTTGGTGCCCCTTTTACCTTAAATCGGACGAAAATATATATGGGAGCTATATCTAAATCTGAACCGATTTTTCCCAATTTCAATAGGGTTCGTCCTTGGGCGAAATACGTGACTTCTGGCAAATTTCATCTAAATTGGATCATAAATGCGACCTGTACTTTGTTTACAATTTAACTTCTACAGACGGACGGACGGACATGCATAAATCGACTCAGGACCCATCTAAAAATATAGAGCTATATGGAAAATTGTCTTTAGAGTACTGGTTAGTTTAGATAACGAGGCCACAAAATGGAAGGAAATGTTTTTTATTATGATATTGGTATATGGCGCCCAACCTAAGCCGGAAAAAATTATCCTATTTGGTTATACCCTTCACCACACTGTGGTACAGGCATGTTAAATTGAATAAAGTACAGGTCGCAATTATTATTCGAATTGGATGAAATTTGGCAGAGCTCGTCTATTTGGTCCATGGACGAACTCTATTGAATTCAGATTTAGATATAGCTCCCACATATATGTTCGAACTTAAGGTAAATGGTTCACCAAAGTTCCTATATATCTTTCAATTTCCACGACATTTTGCATAGCGTACTGACTTGAGTCTAGAATGATGTGTATACATTTTCTTGAAAATCGGTTCAGATTTAGATATAGCTCCCATATATATGTTCGACCGATTTAATGTAAATGGTGTACCAAAGTCCCTATATATCCCTCAATTTGTACGAAATTTGGCATAGCGTACTGAATTGATGCTACAATGATGCGTGTTAAGTTTCTTAAAAATCGGTTCCGATTTAGATATAGCTCCCATATACATTTTCGCCCGATTTAATGTAAATGGTGCACCAAAGTCCCTATAAATAATCCGATTTGCACGAAATTTGGCTCAGCGTACTGAATTCTGCCTAGACTGAGCATAGGTTTCAGAATATATGTACGGATTCATGTTAGTCGGTTCACATATAAAGATCACATATCGACGCCTCCGAACCATAGTATGCTAAGTCTGAAAAGTGAGTTTTTCAGTAGAAGCTCTCAAAGTATGGAAGTTTCATATATTTTACGGGCCATGCTAAGTACATTTTTGCTTAAAACTTTGGTTTGGATTGGCCGATGGTTACCAAAATTTCAGAAAATATAAATTAAGGACCGTAGTATTTAAAAACGTAAAGAACTTTAAAACATGCTAAGTCGACTTAGCATACTATGGTTCGGAGGCGTCGATTTTTAAGTTCGTTCATTTTCATGTCAATATGCCTTCGAAAGGTGACGTCTATTAGGATATATATGTAGAATATGCCAAAGTGGTGAAGGGTATCATATAGTCGGCCCAGTCCGATTTTACTACTTTCCTTACTGGTTTAAAATAATATTTGGGAGGGAGGTTTGGATCGGATATATATATATATATATATTTTAATGTTGTTTATTAAAAAAGCTAAGAAAAAACTGAACCATAGCTTTCAGTCGATCAGCTTCCATACACTCTCATTACCAATTTATAGATTGCAGACTATTGATGAATGTGTTTGTGTGTGTGTATGTGTGGTCTGTTGTTCAATGAACTGAACTGGGTTCAATCGATAGATAAGATTGATGCAACTACTCTAACAATCGCTTCTCAACCTATAGCACACAGATGAAGAAATTGAGAGAAATTTAGAATAAAAGAAAAAAATCAAACTTAAAAAGCATGGGTATGTTCGGTCGGGTCGAACCTGAAAATTCTGCTATGGTCTTTAGCATACTCAAATTTATTAAGGTTCAATAATTGATTACTAATTCGACACATGGACCAATTCTTCACATGTTCTGCATTCTATGTTGTGTACCCACCAAGAAACCAAAATTCCAAATTACAACCACTTCTCTATTAGAACCTGAGACTCGATATGATATGATTTTATTTAAATTATCATTTAGTTACAATTTCATATTTTCTCAACTTTCAAATAGATCCCCTTCTCCGGGGCAACAATAATACTTTTCTTATCCAGCACAATGGGAATTTGAGTCTGCTCACAAACCGCAAAACGGAAATTCTTCAAGAGTAATGCCAAACCGACCATTGATTGCATTTTACCAAAACGCATACCAATACAATTGCGGGGTCCATCACCAAAGGATAAATTCAAGACGGAATCACGTTTGGCAACTTCGGTAGGACTAAAGTGGTCAGGATTAAATTCATTCGGTTGTGGGTAATAACGCGCATCACGATGTATGGCAGCAGCGGGTATAACAATTGACATGCCTTTCTTGATAACATATTTGGGATTATCCGGTACCACATAATCCTCAGAGGCCAAGCGATTGATGGTCGGTATGGTGGTGTAGAGACGCAAAGTTTCTAAAAAAATAAAAATAAAAAAAATTTTGAAAAATATCTTTGAAAAATCCACGTCTTTCATTAGACATTGAAAAAAAATTGTTGATAGTCTCTAACAAATATTTTTAAACCAGGAAAATAGTAAAGTCGGACGGGGAAAGTAGTAAAGTCGGACGAGGCCGACTTTATGATACCCTTCACCACTTTGTCATATTCAACAGATGAATTCTAACAGACGTCGAATTTTTGAAGGACCATTAACATGAAAATGGATCCATAAACCCATAACATAAAATCGGAAGAAAATATATCTGGGAGCTATATCTAAATCTGGATCGATTTTCAGGAAACTAAACACACATCATTCTAGACCCAATTCAGTACGCTGTGCCAAATTTCGTGCAAATCGAATGATATATAGGGACTTTGGTACACCATTAACATTAAACCAGACGAAAATATATAATATATATGGGAGAAACTATATCTAAAATCACCTAGTCTAAAGATATATTTTCCTTCTTAGACCTAATTCATACGCTGTGCCAAATTTCGTGCAAATCGAAAGTGATATATAGGGACTTTGGTGCACCATTTACATAAAATCGGACGAAAATATATATGGGAGCTATATCTAAATCTGGACCGATTTTCAGGAAACTTAACACACATCATTCTAGACCTAATTCATTACGCTATGCCAAATTTCGTGCAAATCGAAAGATATATAGGGACTTTGGTGCGCCATTTACATAAAATCGGAAGAAAATATATATGGGAGCTATATCAAAATCTGGACCGATTTTCAGGAAACTTAACACACATCATTCTAGACCTAATTCATTGCGCTATGCCAAATTTCGTGCAAATCGAAAGATATATAGGGACTTTGGTGCACCATTTACATTAAATCGGACGAATATATGGAAGCTATATCTAAATCTAGACCGATTTTCAGGAAACTTAACACACATCATTCTGTACCTATTTCAGTGCTCTATGCTAAATTTCGTGCAAATCAAAAGATATATAGGGACTTTCGTGCACCATTTACTTTAAATCGGACGAAACTATATATGGGAGCTATATCTAAATCTGAACCGATTTTTTCGAAACTTGGCACACGTCATTCTGGACCTAATTCAGTACTCTATGCCAAATTTCGTGCAAATCGAAAGATATATAGGGACTTTGGTACACCATTTACCCTAAATCGGACGAAGATATATATGGCAGCTATATCTAAATCTGAACCGATTTTCAGGAAACTTAACACACATCATTCTAGACCTAATTCAGTACGCTATGCCAATTTTCGTGCAAATCGAAAATTATATAGGTACTTTGGTACACCATTTACATAAAATCGGACGAAAATATATATGGGAGCTATATCTAAATCTGAACCGATTTTTTCCAATTTCAATAGGGTTCGTCCTTGGGCCAAATAAGAGACCTATACCAGATTTCATCCAAGTCGGATCATAAATGCGACCTGTACTTTGTTCACAATTTAACATGGACAGGCACACGAACGGACGAACGGTCGGACGGACATGCATAAATTGACTTAAAAAGTGATTCTATGCCCATTCTCAAAAGGAACCATGTGTCCATCTCTTTTCCTGTTGCCTGTTACAAACATATGCACAAAGACATAATACCCTGTATCACAGTGTGGTGAAGGATATAAAAATCCACGCCTATTTTAGTAGCCTATAAAAATGGTTTAAAAATAGGCTGGCCTTTTGTAGAACCCTAGCGTCATCTACATCTAAAATAGAGGTAATAAATACGCTTTTTTATTCGGTTTTTTTTGTTTGTATCTCTACTCACCCTGTATCACCTGCTCCAAATACACCATTTCCTTGAGGCATTCATACTCAAACACATCGTTGTGATTTTCCAAAACACGGCAAACTTCCTCCCTTGCCTTCTCCTGCACATCCAAATTCTGCGCCAATTCATAGAGAGCAAAACTCATGGTGGTCGATGAGGTCTCAAAACCCGCCAGAAGGAACACAAAAGCCTGGGCAGCAATTTGACCAAATGATAAATTCGTCAACTCACCCTCTCCCTCCTCCTCCTCCTTAAATAATTTCTGATTTTTCAAATCAATTAACATGTCCATAAAATCATTACGCCGAACTTTCTCCCGCTCACGATAATCCACTGTGTCTTTGACAATTTTCATAAAATAATTTTCCACTTCCGGTAGGGTTTCCTTGATGTGCAGTTTGCGACATAGCTCGGGAAAACTAAAACGCATTACTATGCCCAAGTTACCATAACGTTGTTCACTTAAGGCCTTGCGACCCATTTGCAAAAATTCAACATCCTCATTTTTCATACAGTTCATATTCAGACCAAAGGCACAGGTGCCAATGACATCTGTGGTAAAATAGCCAGCCAGATCTCTCATTTCCATAATTTCCTCCTTCCGCAGTAGTCTCTCCCCAACCACTTCCACCAATTCATAACCCAGCTGCAACACTAAGGGGAACATTGCCTTTATACGTCCCGAAGTAAAGGCTGGCGATAATTTATTACGCATGTTGCGCCATCTGTTGCCATTTAGGTTAATTAACTGCCCCGACAGCGGATCATCCTCCTCATTGTTATAGAAACCACGATCAGCAAATTTATTGAAATCTTTTATGAGTATCTGTTTGCTGAGTGCCGGGTCCAATACAAAAATCGCCTTCTTATGCAGCCAATAGAAACCCACAAAGGGACCCGAGAAGTTGCGATATTTTTCATAATATTCCAATATGATTTGATTGAAGGAACGAGTGGTGGATAGGCCGGACAGACTTCCCAGCAGCCAATTGGGTGGCTCACAGGGTATACCCTGATTGTGCCAATAATTAAAATGTTCACGTAGGAGATGAGCGATGTAAACCAACAATGTGAATAGAATACTGAACAGAATCGGAAAGGCAAACATGGTTATTAATTAAAAAATAATTAAAATAATAATTGATGATCTTATCGCCGCTGCTATACAAACAATACTAACAGGCAGCGGGTCCAACAGAAATATTCATAGAGTCTCTTCTCTTAAAAAATAGAAATATCGAAGCTCATTCAAAAACATGAGCTTTTGAGAATAACAGAGAGTCCAACGTGAGAAATTAATTAATTAGGAAAAGACAGAGATGGAAATTCTGAATTATTAAATTTTTGAGGGAAGATTATTATCCGAATAAAACATATAAATTATTGCAAAAAAAAACATAATTTTATTATTTACATAATATCGACCCTTAAATATATCCCCCCTGACGGTGATGTCAAAAAGCTCTGCTTATCATATTCCATGGGTATCATAGTTCGATCGCATATAGAAAATCGAAAATTGCGCAGGAGCAATGCCAAGCCAATGATAACTTGCATTTTACCAAAACGCATACCAACACAATTGTGTGGACCCTCACCAAATGGTAGATAGAGTATCGGATCACGTTGTGTGATTTTTTGCGGGGAAAAATTATCGGGATTAAATTTTTCTGGCTGGGGGTAATAACGTTCATCACGATGTATGGCTGCGGAGGGTATTAATATTGGCATTCCTTTGCGTATAATATAGTCCGGGTGATCGGGTACCACATAATCTTCCAAGGCCATGCGATTGAGTACCGAGAGGGAGGTATGGAGGCGCATTGTTTCTGTAAGGGAAAAAGTGGAAAAAATAAAGGAGGATTTTTTAAAATATTTGTAAAGTATAACCAGAGGCGTAGATAAAAAAATCTAAGCTGTTACAATAGGCGTGAATTTTTATACCCTTCACCACACTCAGGTACAGGGTATTATGTCTTTGTGCATATGTTTGTAACGGGCAAAATTAAACGAGATAGACCCATAGTTCCTTTTGAGAATTTGCATAGAATCACTTTCTGAGTCGATTTATGCATGTCCGTCCGCCCGTCTGTCCATGTTAAATTGTAAACAAAGTACAGGCCGCATTTATGATCCGAATTGGATGAAATTTGGCACAGCTCATTTATTTGGCCCAAGGACGAACCCTATTAAAACCAGTAAAAATCGGGTCAGATTTAGGATACCCTTCACCATATACATTAAACAGGACTATTAACATGAAATTGGATGAAATAAAATATGTGATATTTATCTAAATGTGAATCTACCTATATAAAGTGTGTAAATCGACTTCAAACAAATATAAATAGAGCATCCGGTTGACTATGTCTGTACTTATAGAAACTTAATTCTATGCTCAATTTTGTACGTTGTGCAAAATTTGATGTCAATCTGACTAGCATGAAGTATGATGCCCAATTTGCTTGATATCGGGCGAAAAAATATATGTAAGCTATATCCACATATTAAGCGATTTCAAACAAACTTGTCACAGGTTAGGTTATACTAACTTTAGAACGTTTTGTTCCTATTGGTTCCTTGGTGCGTCAATTACATAAAATCAATCTATAATAAAATGGAGCTATATCTAAATCTGGACCGATTTTCACGAAACAAGGCAGACATCACTCTAGGCTCAATTCAGTACGTTATGCCAAATTTCGTGCAAATCGAAAGATATATAGCGACTGTGTGAACCATTTACATGAAATCGGACGAAACTATATGTGGGAGCTATATAGAAATATGGACCGATTTTATCGAAACTTGGCAGACATCACTCTAGGCTCAATTCAGTACGTTGTGCAAAATTTCGAGCAAATCGAAAGATATATATGGATGTAGGTGCACAATTTACATGAAATCGGACGAAACTATATATGGGAGCTATATCTAAATCTGGACTGATTTTCACGGAGCTTGGCAGACATCATTCTAGACCTAAATGATTAGGCTGTACCAAATTTCGTGCTAATCGAAAGATATATAGGGACTTTGGGGCCCCATTTACATTAAATCGGACGAAACTATATATGTGAGCTATATCTAAATCGGGACCGATTTTCATGAAACTTGGCAGACATCATTCTAGGCCCAATTAAGTACGTTATGCTAAATTTCGTGCAAATCGAAGGATATATAGGGACTTTGGGGCACCATTTACATGAAATCGGACGAAACTATATATGGGAGCTATATCTAAATCTGGACCGATTTTCTTGAAACTGGGCAGACACCATTCTAGACTCAATTCAGTACGTTATGCCAAATTTCGTGCAAATCGAAAGATATATAGAGACTTTGGGGTACCATTTACATGAAATCGGACGAAACTATATATGGGAGCTATATCTAAATCGACCGATTTTCACGAAACTTGGCAGACATCACTCTAGGCTTAATTCAGTACGTTATGCCAAATTTCGTGCAAATCAAAAGATATATAGGGACTTTGGGGCACCATTTACATGAAATCGGACGAAACTATATATGGGAGCTATATCTAAATCTGGACCGATTTTCACGAAACTTGGCAGACATCATTCTAGACCTAAATGATTAGGCTGTACTAAATTTCGTGCAAATCGAAAGTTATATAGGGACTGTTTACATTAAATCGGTTAAATATATATATGGGAGCTATATCTAAATCTGAACCGATTTTTCCCAATTTCAATAGGGTTCGTCCTTCAAATAAGTGACCTATGCCAAATTTCATCCAAATCATAAATGCGACCTGTACTTTGTTTACAATTTAACATGGACGGACGGACGGACAGACGGACATGCGTAAATCGTCAGAAAGTGATTCTATGCATATTCTCAAAAGGAACCATGGGTCTATCTCGATTATTTTTGCCTGTTACAAACATATGCACAAAGACATAATACCCTGTACCACAGTGTGGTGAAGGGTATAATTAGGAAAAATCGGTTCAGATTTAGATAGAATGTTCGACCGATTTATTGTAAATGGTATACCAAAGTCCTTCGATTTGCACGAAATTTGGCACAGCGTACGGAATTAAGCCTAGAATGATGTGTGCTAAGTTTCGTGAAAATCGATTCCGATTTAGATATAGCTCCCATATATAGTTTGGTCCGATTTTAGGTAAATGGTGCACCAAAGTCCCTATATATCTTTCGATTTGCACGAAAATTGGCATAGGGTACTGAATTAGGTCTAGAATGATGTGAAACAAATTTCTTGAAAATCGGTTCAGATTTAGATATAGGTCCCATATATTCGTCCGATTTAATGTAAATGTTGCACCAAAGTCCCCATATATCTTTCGATTTGAACAAAATTTGGCACAGCGTACGGAATTAAGTCTAGAATCACGTGTGTAAAATATCTTGAAAATTGGTTCAGATTTAAATATAGCTCCCATATATAGTATCATCCGATTTTAGGTAAATGGAGCACCAAAGTCCCTATATATCTTTCGATTTGCACGAAATTTGGCAGAGGGTACTGAATAAGGTCTAGAATGATGTGTGCAAAGTTTTTTGAAAATCGATTCAGATTTAGATATAGCTACCATATATAGTTTCGTCCGATTTTGGGTAAATGGAGTACCAAAGTCCCTATATATCTTTCGATTTAAATGATATTTGGCACAGCGTACGGAATTAAGCCTAGAGTGATGTGTGCTAAGTTTCGTGAAAATCGATTCAGAGTTAGATATAGCTCCTATATATATTTTCGCCTGATTTAACATAAATAGTGCACCAAAGTCCCTCTATATCTTTCGATTTGCACGAAATTTGGCACAGCGTACTGAATTTAGCCTAGATTGATGCGTGTTAAGTTTCCTAAAAATCGGTCCAGATTTAGATATATAGATAATATAAATTTTTGTCCGATTTAATGTAAATGATATACCAAAGACCCTATATATTCTTGAATTTGCACGAAATTTGGCATAGCGCACCTAATTGAGTCTAAAATGATGTGTGCTAAGTTTCGTGAAAATCGGTTCAGATTTAGATATGGCTCCCATAGATATTTTCGTCCGATTTTAGATAAATGAGCATTAAAGTCACCGAAATTTGGCGTAGGGTACTGGATTAGGTCAAGAATGATATGAGTACAATTTCTTGAAAATCGGTTCAGATTTAGATTTAGCTCCCATATATATTGTCGTCCGATTTTATGTAAATATGCCAAAGTCCCTTTATATCTTTCGATTTAAACGATTTATATAAAATTTTGTATGTAACTTACCCTGAATTATTTGCTGCAAATACACCATTTCCTTCATACAATCATAGCTAAATTCCTGGTCATACTTGTCGAGTACCCCTCTAATTTCTTGCCGAACCTTTTCCTGCTCCTGCACGTGTTGGGCCAATTCATACAATGCAAATCCCATAAGTGTCGAGGAGGTTTCAAAACCAGCCAATAGAAAAGAAAATACCTGGGCAGCAACCTGACCAAAACTCAGAGTCGGCAAACCATCCTCCCCTTTATTGTTCTTCAAATCAATCAATAGATCCATAAAATCATTACGCCTTGTCGAACTCTCCTCACGACATTGCATTGTATCTCTTACAATTCGCATAAAATATTTCTCAACATCGGCCATAGTTTGTTTGAGGTGCAGACGTCGTGCAAATTGAGGATAACTAAAACGTAAGGCAATTCCTGGACGTTGTTCCACGAAGGCTCGGCGACACATTTTCCGAAACTCGGCATCCGGTTTACGCATACTATCTATTTCAATGCCAAAGGCACAACTGCCAATGACATCGATGGTAAAGCGTGATATCAACTCTTTTATATCTAAAATGGGATCCATGGCGATATTTTCCCGAAATAGCTTCACAAGTTCTTGGGCCTCCCGCCTAACCAATGGAAACATTGCCTTCATTTTGGACGATGTAAATGTTGGTGTTATTTTATTACGCATAAAACGCCAATGTTGACCATATAAATTGAACAAGGAACCCGTCAGCGGATCATCTGCCTCATTGCAATACATACCACGATCGGCAAATTTCGCGAAGTCTTTAATGAGTATCAACTTTATAAGCTTGGGATCCACAACAAATACTCCCGGTTTGGTAAACCAATAGAATCCAGCAAATGGTCCTGCATTCCGATATTTCAGATAATATTCTTGCCATACTTGTGAAAAGGGTCTCTGAATTACCACTCCTCTTAAATTTCCCACCAACCAATGGGGTGGATCACAGGGAATATGACGAGATTTCCAATAGGTTATATTTTTATAGAATAATCGCCAGGCATATAAAAGGAGAACAACAGCGACGGATATTAAAATTCCGCTTACAGACATTTTGTGAATGCGAAAAAATGCTTCCTCTTTTTAGGAAATGTGGATATACAACTGATATGACTGGCTTAGTGGGGATTTAAATATCCCAATCGAAGAAAGCTTTACGGCGAGCTTTTAATTCTTTCGACACAGTGTAAATTTTATACAAAAAAAAATAATAAAAATGATATCTTCAAGTTCGTTATACGATATGCAGTTCAGCAGTTCATTCATCTTTACAATACTATGCTGATCCGCACAGTGTTTCTTATTCCCTTCACCACACTGTGGTACAGGGTATTTTATTTTTTGAAAATAACATATGATTTTTTGTAACAGGCAAAAATGGATTTTTTCAATCCTTCACCTCACTGTGGTGGTTACTTTTGCATATGTTTGTAAATATGCATAGAATTACTTTTTAAGACGATTTATGCATGTCCGTCGATCTGCCCGTCTGTCCATGTTAAATTGTAAACAAAGTACAGGTCGCATTTATGATCCGATTTGGATGAAATTTGGCACAGCTCATTTGTTTGGCCCAAGGACGAACCCTATTGAAATTGGGAAAAATCGGTTGAGCTTTAGATATAGCTTCCATATATATTTTCGTCTGATTTAAGGTAAATGGTGTACCAAAGTCCCTATATATCTTTTGATTAGCACGACATTTGGCATAGCGTAATGAATTAGGTCTAGATTGATGTGTGTTAAGTTTCCTGAAAATCGGTTCAGATTTAGATATAGCTCCCATATATATTTTCGTCCGATTTAATGTAAATGGTGTACCAAAGTACCTACATATCTTTCGATTAGTGCGAAATTTGACATAGCGTAATGAATTAGGTCTAGAATGGGCGCAGTGTTCGCTTTGGCGGATAAACTCAAGAAGTACAAAGCCGATATTATTGCCTTACAGGAAATGCAATGGAAAGGGACAGGCGTAAGCAAATCAGACGATTACGCCCGGTTTAATAGCTGCCATGAAACGAGACATAAATTTGGCTGCGGATTTATGGTTAACAGGAGAATAAAAGACGTTGTCTCCAGATTCACTCCAGTAGATGAGCGAATTGCTACAATCCGTATAAAAGCGAAGTTCTACTACATCAGTCTTATTTGCGCCCATGCTCCGACCGAAGATAAAGATGAACAGACCAAAGACATATTTTACGAGCGCCTAGAAACAGCATATGACCGTTGCCCTGGCCATGACATTAAAATTCTGCTAGGAGATTTTAATGCAAAAATCGGAAGGGAAAATATATTTAGCCCCACCGTCGGAAAATTCAGCCTTCATGAAGAAACATCCGACAACGGCATGAGGTTGATTGACTTCGCGGCAGCAAAAAACATGGTAGTTAGCAGCACCAGATTCAAGCATCTCGATATACACAAGGCCACCTGGATCTCTCCTGATCAAGTAACGAGAAATCAAATTGATCATTCAGTGTTTTAGACGTCCGATCGATCCGAGGAGCGAATATCGATTCTGACCATTACCTTGTGACAGCCAAGGTACGCACCCGTCTTAATGTTGCAGCAAAGGTGCGATCTAATACTACACGGAAACTTGACGTCAAAAAGCTGCAAACACAACAGGTAGCCGAGGCCTACTCCGCTCAACTTACCCATCTGCTTGAAGAAAGCACTTCTTGTCCCGATAATAGTATAGAAGAACAATGGCAAAGAATTGCCCACTCCCTACAAACTGCAGCAAAAAGAACAATTGGGTACCAAAAACCACCACCAAGAAACCCATGGTGCGACCAGGAGTGTCGTAATGCTACTGATGTGAAAAACACAGCGTATAGGGCAACCCTGCAAAAAGTAGCAACACGTAACGTGATGGAGAATTATCGGGAGAAAAGGAGAGGGGAGAAACGTGTTTTCAGAAAAAAGAAGAAAGAACAAGAAAAACGTGAGCGTAAGCAAATCGAGATGTACAGGAGTCAGAATGAAGTTCGGAAATTTTACCAACGAGTAAAACACCAAACCGAAGGTTTTGGTGCAGGCACATGCTCCTGTAGAGATGAAGAAGGAAACCTGGTGACATATACAGACAGCGTGTTGAGGATCTGGAAGGAGCATTTCGAAAAGCTTCTAGCATCAAATAGTGGCGATGAAGAAGATACCCCAGAACCAATAAGAGATGATGGTATAGAGTGTATACCACCTAGCCAAGATGAGGTCATAAAAGCAATTAATCGGCTCAAGAACAACAAAGCAGCAGGAGCCGATGGGTTACCAGCCGAACTATTCAAGACTGGTGGCCAGATGCTGGTCAGGAGCATGCACCAGCTGATTAGCACAATTTGGCTAGATGAATGCATGTCCAATGATTGGAACCTCAGCATCCTGTGTCCCGGGCACAAAAAATGGAGACAAGACGATATGTGCCAACTATAGAGGAATAAGTATCCTTCCCATCGCATATAAAGTGCTATACAGTGTGCTGTGTAAACGACTGAAGCCAATGGTCAATGACACTATCGGACCATACCAATGCGGCTTCAGACCTGGCAAGTCCACGATTGACCACATTTTCACCTCTGCGTTCAGAGGTGTTTAAAGCCATGCCTGCGTTCGACATTCCTGCAAAATTAATACGGCTATGCAGGATAACTTTAAGTGGCACAAGGTCAGCAGTTAAAGTAGGAAAGGACCTATCGGAGCCCTTCAATACCGAACGAGGATTCAGACATCCTACTGGAAAAGGTCATACGAGACGCAAAGGTGAACAGAAATGGCACCCTGTACACCAAACAACACATGTTAATCGCCTACGCCGATGGCATCGATATAATGGGTCGAACATTGCGAGCGGTAACAGCCACCTTTGAACAAATTGAAAAGGAGTCTGCCAAAATGGGTCTGGCAGTAAACGGCGAGAAGACCAAGCTGATGGTATCAACGCGCAAGACGTCCAGTAGACTCGGACCAACTGTGGAACTTGAGAACTACAGCTTCGAGGTAGTTAAATACTTTATATACCTTGCTACCGCCATAAATAAAACGGATGACATTAGTTTTGAAATTCGGAGAAGGATTGTGATGGCCAACAGATGCTACTATGGTCTATGTAAGCAGTTTAGAAACAAGGCCACCTCCCGCCAGACCAAACTCACACTTTACAAGACGCTGATACTACTCGTGCGTCCAGTAGACTCGGACCAACTGTGGAACTTGAGAACTACAGCTTCGAGGTAGTTAAATACTTTATATACCTTGCTACCGCCATAAATAAAACGGATGACATTAGTTTTGAAATTCGGAGAAGGATTGTGATGGCCAACAGATGCTACTATGGTCTATGTAAGCAGTTTAGAAACAAGGCCACCTCCCGCCAGACCAAACTCACACTTTACAAGACGCTGATACTACTCGTGCTATTATATGGATCAGAAGCATGGGTACTTGCGCAAGCAGATAAGACAGCTCATGGGGTGTTTGAGAGAAAAATTATCCGAAAGATCTACGGGCCGATCTGTGTCGACGGTGAATATCGGCGTCGAATGAACCACAAGCTTTACAATTTATACGCGGACATCGACATAGTCAGTCGTATTGAGCTGCAGCGACTACGGTGGCTAGGCCATGTTGTGCGGATGAATGAAAATGCCCCAGCTCAAAAGGCATATAAAAACCAGTAAGGAAAGTAGTAAAGTCGGACGGGGCCGACTATATGATACCCTTCACCACTATGGGTATATTAAACAGGACGATTAACATGAAATTGGATGAAATAAAATATGTGATATTTATCTAAATATGAATCTACCTGGATCTATCCATAAAGTATGTAAATCGACTTCAAACAAATATAAATAGGTCATCCGTTGGGCTATGTCTGTACTTCTAGAAGACGCAACTACGTAATTCTATGCTCAATTTTGTACGTTGTGCAAACTTTGATGTCAATCTGACTAACATGAGGAGTTTGATGCCCACTTTACGGGCGAAAATATATATGGAAGCTCTATCCAAATATTAAGCGATTTCAAACAAATTTGTCACAGGTTAGGTTATACTAATTTCAGAACGTTTTGTTCCTATCAGCCTATTGGATCCTTGGTGCGTCAATTACTTATAATCAATCTATAATAAAAGGGAGCTATATCTAAATCTGGACCGATTTTCAGTACGTTATGCCAAATTTCGTGCAAATCGTGCATCATTTACATGAAATCGGACGAAACTATATATGGGAGCTATATCTAAATCTGAACCGATTTTCTCGAAAATTGGCACAAATTATTCTGAAACTAATTCAGTACGCTATGCCAAATTTCGTGCAAATCGAAACATATATAGGGACTTTGGTGCATCATTTACATGAAATCGGACGAAATATATATTGAGCTATATAGAAATCACCGAAATAAACTTGGCAGACATCTTTCAAGGCTCAATTCAGTACGTTATGCCAAATTTCGTGCAAATGGAAAGATATATAGGGACTTTGGTGCACCATTTACATGAAATCGGACGAAACTATATATGGGAGCTATATCTAAATCTGGACCGATTTTCTCGAAAGTTGGCAGACAGCATTCTAGGCTTAATTCATTACGTTATGCCAAATTTCGTGCAAATCGACAGATATATTGGGACTTTGGGGCACCATTTACATGAAATCGGACGAAACTATATATGGGAGCTACAATTCTTACCGATTTTCTCAAAACTTGGCAGACATCTCTCTAGGCTCATTTCAGTACGTTATGCCAAATTTCGTGCAAATCGAAGGATATATAGGGACTTTGGTGCACCATATACATGAAATCGGTCGAAACTATATATGGGAGCTATATCTAAATCAGAACCGATTTTCTCGAAACTTGGCACACATCATTCTGGACCTAATTCAGTACGTTATGCAAAATTTCGTGCAAATCGAAGGATATAGAAGGACTTTGGTGCCCCATTTACCTTAAATCGGACGAACCTATATATGGGAGCTATATCTAAATCTGAACCGATTTTCTCGAATCTTGGCATACATCGTTCTGCACCTAATT